CCCTCAGGCCTGGGGTAACACTGCCGCTCAGGGGGGCTCTGGGGGGAAGGGGCAGGAGGGACAGACCTTACCGGGGCTGGCAGTTGTTGGGAGGTGTGAACAAGAAAAGGCAACGTGCATCTGACTGTCACAACCTGACCTCCTTACACCTCTGGTTGCCCAAGATCAGAATAAGGCTTCATAACAGTCCTTGGTGTTCTTTGTAAAATAGAAAAGCATGGCTATAGCAAAACTTACAAAGGTGTCTCATGACTTCTTGTGTCCTACAAGAAACTGCCAAGTACTCTTGCAGAGCAAGCTTAATAGTGGGTTTGTAATGTTTTGAAGCAAACCACCTATACCATCCACTCTTCTTGCTTGGCTGCTTCTTTGTCAATGCGCCGCATGCAGACCATGGGACCAAAGCATCTAGCAGCGTATTGTATTTGCACTGCAGCTCACGCTACCAACATCTTTTCAAATTGGCAAAAGAAAGCATTAACATCCAAGAGAAGCAACTCTCCCTGCAAAAGCGCTATTTTTTTATATAATATGCATGGACTTTTAAAATTGTTATTGGTTATCCCACTGTACCTTGTTGTATCTCTTCCTTGTTATATTGTCTTTATAATCTGAAAATAGCTTGCATTATTATTTTACTTTATGCTTTCATCTTTCCCCCCCTCCCAGTTTTGCTATTAACTTAAAGTTAGTAAACTATCTACAACTGTCCTATGTATTTCAAAGCTGATAGTAGTCATCAGGCCTATCCGTTCTCTCTCTTTGTGCTTCCACTAAGATCCTCTTTGTTTGTCAACAATTTTAAATAAAGGATAGGAGTAAAGTCTGTAAAAGGTTTTGTAATTCAGAATACTGTCAAAATACTTTCAACACTAGAATAAACAGGCAACTCTTAAGACATATATTAATGCTGCACACTGACCATTGTATATCCATAAAGGCTGGAAGCAATGTTTCTTTAAGGAGAGTAGCCTATCCATAAAAATTGCAGTTCTTGTAAGACAAAAGCCTCGTGTACTATTCTCAAGCTGCTAATTATCAGAGAGGATAGAAATTGAAATCACTCTCTGGATAGGAGGCAGACAAAAAGTTCTGTGTAACATTGCTTATCACTCCCACTGGGTTCCTGCAGCGTTCTTCATGAGTTATTTAATTATTTACATTCTCTGTTAGAGGCAAATATGTGCATGCAGTGCCATGCATGGCTGGAAAATACATTGCTTTTTCTGTCTTACAAAAGTCACCTAGTCCAAGACATGATCCTCTCTCTCTCATCCTATGAATTCAAAGTATACCATTTTAAATTCTTTATGTTTTTTTTTTTTTTCTTGAAGGGGGGAAAAAAAAAACCCTCACCCTGAATATTTTGTAATGTGAGAGGAAATCACATTACTGCAATACTGTAAGTACTATACTATAATAAAGTCAGGAATAGGGCAACAATTTGGGGTTTGAACTTTAATCATTTTTACACTGTGGTTGAAATATTAGGCTTTCCTTAAGTCATGTTCTGCGCTCCAGTATGCATATGATAGTTTGAACATGGTTCCCCCATATATGCTGTTTATGTTCTGTATGAAATGGCTCCCAGACCTTGCTCTAATATCGATGTTGCAGTGTCACCACCTCGTGGTGAAGTTGCTGTACAGTCGTTAAATAGAGGCATAGCGAGAGATGAAGTTTCTCCATGCGTCTTTAACTAGACATTTTTGAGATAAATTATTCCTGACTTTTTACAAAAATTAATCTTCCAGAGACTATCTGAAAACAGGAGAAGCTGATTAACCTCCATTATGTTAGGAAAGGTGCTTCCAAGTAATCAATATGTCTGCAGTGCAACAGAAAAGGAGGTGTGTAACATTCCCATGTAGAATAAAAAAGGGTTATCGTGTGTGGGAGAAGAAGACTTATTCCTGCCTTAGATGTAAGTATGTAAAAATTAACAAATTTCAGTGTGGGTAGCAGTTGGAGCAAAGTGTACAATTCAGCATAAGCCCAAAATCCTCTTACGCTGTGTATTTAGGAGAAATGAGAGCAAGAATTTATAATTGTAAAAAAAAAAAAAAAAAAAAAAAAAAAAAAAGTAGCTTTGGACCTTGTTGAATTGGATGTCAGACATGTTGTCTGTGGTTTGGTTGAAATGTTAGTTAAATTAAGAACTTAAGTTTGGTGTTCTTTTTGCCGAGACATTGATTTGAAATTCAGATTTCACTTTCTCCTTTTATCACAGTTTGTAAAATAGAAGTGACATATCTTTTGGGTTATACAACTGAAGATTTGCAGAGGGATTTTTTTAGTTGAAAAAAAAAAAAAGTGAAACAGACATTTATTTATATAGTTACTTATCGTTTGCCTAGTTTTGTTATTAACCTGTGATCAGAAATCTGGGGTAGTAATGTAATTCCAAACTTTTCTTTTTGTTTGATGTTATAATGTAATAAAGAGTGCGGACTACATTATTTTACTTGCTATCATGATTCATTGATCAAAGCTTCTATCTAATTTTGGCCACTTGAACCTTTTAATAACTATCCCTTCAGTGTTGTGTTGGTATATCTTGCTTGCTGCCATGTGAGAGATCACTTCCCTTCAGTGCAGTATCAGCATATAGCCACAGCCCTACAAAGAGAAGCAGATCAGAAGTTTATCTTTTTAGGAAAAATCAATATATCTTTTGTAGTCCAGTGCAGTTATATGTGTAACTGTCAAGTAAATAATTTCCAGAATTCAACCCCCTTTTTCTTTCAACCATTATCTCCTTGGGCTGTATAAGTAAACAAGTTGCTCTTGCTAGAAAGATCTGCATTGCAGTTCTTAGTGCAAGTGGGCTATGAACCCATGCCATATAAAAACATTACTGTACGGTTTTGCTTTATAGACTGAAAAGTAAAAATAACATCAGGGAGCAAAATTTTTTTAAGCACTTTAAAAATAAAACATCTCTTGTTTGTGTGTTCCTGCAAATCTGTGAACTAATTCTAAGGGATCTGAAAAATAATGATGATAAAAAATAAGCTTATTTTGGTAGGGTTAAATTTTTTTATATAGGGATCCACATCTGTTTTGAACAATGTTGGGTGTTAAGCAAATGAAAAAGAAGTACTCTAATTTTAATATGTACCATTATGTCTGTCACTTAGAGGAACAAAACTCCAAAGTAACACCTGAACAAGGAATCTTGATACCCTGTGGATATCAGGGCTGTTGTACATATGCATCGATAATGCCAGCGGCTCACAAAAATGCAAACATATATTCAAAGCCTTTTAAATCTTCATGGCTTTCCTTGTATCAAGAAATGAGAGACCTAAAACATAATGGTGCCTTATTAGTAAGAATCAACTAATCATAGCTAATAAAATAAAATATAGCACAGCAAAGGCAAATTATGCATGTGTCCTCAGTAGAGAAGGTAGACAAAAGCAACCTGTTAACCAGCTTTCAACTGAGAAAAGTCTGAAAGCTCATGATGGCTTTTAATTTTTACAATATGTTGTTGAACAGCGTGGAAGCTTTTAATCACTACAGGTGTTTTTACAAGTGATGCTAGATAAATTTGTGTTGTTTTAGTCTTATGTTCACTACCAAAGCCCCAAAATTTTACATCTTGTTGCTCCTCATATTAAAACAAATGTTTAAATGTTACTTTTGAACACCAAGTCCATACAGTTTAAAGTTCGAACAGCAAAAATCTCATCAGTCACTTACTGAGGCTTGCTAAAATTTAAATTGTCCCAGGGAACTGTTGGAGGGTGTTTGCATTCTGAATAACAAGAAGAACTGTTAACAAGGCCTTGTGGTATTTAAGTAGCTAAACAGCAGAGTAATTATTTGGAAATACGAGTTGGCAGTTGGATCTGACGGCCTCTGTGTATGTCCTTATTGCTGCACTCTGACCCTTGTACATTCATTTTTTTCATAATGTAGTTTTTTATTTATGCTGTAATTTGATCCACCTGTGATAAAGTGTTTACTATGAATGCAGTGATGAAATGGACATTTAATGGATTATGTATCTGAGAAAAATGACTGTGGGATTGTTTATGGCTGTACTTGCATTCACTGTGATCAAAAATGTATGTACTGAGCAGTGAATTATGTGGAAGGTAACTATGTAAAGTTGGTACAAAATTTACTTCGGATTCTCTGTATTTGCATGGTGGTACATCCGTTCTTTGTACCAGTTTGATTTGATATTGACTGGCCCTTGCATGTTTTTCCTTTCATTTGTTGTTTCATAAAATGTCTCTGTTGTAGATGTTTTGTCTACTGCAAAAAGTATACAATGTGATCATTGAAACTGGATATTTTCTAAATTAATCAGCCCCAAAGTAGATACATATGCCTTCTCATGTTTTTCAGCAAATTCCTCAGTACATTTTTTTAAATTTTATTAAAAGAACTGAACAGTCATAAGCTAAGCTTTAGAAACAGTCGTTTCAATCTAATAGAAAAAAAAATCAGTAAGGAGATTAAATCAAGACTTCAAGAGCAATTTCTTTTTTTTCTAAGTTGGATAACACTCTCTTAGGAATCATCATAGTTTGCAGGACAAGACAAAAATAGAAAAGAAGCAGCACAAGGATTATATGCATGAAATTAAATATATTAATATTTATGGACATCCTGTGGCAATGAAAAGTACTGTGGTATATTTTTAAAGAAAAAATAGTATTAAGAAACAAGTTTGGGGTTCAGATGCTTAATTTAGATGACAACTGTGCCTTGAACTCGATGTTTTCATATGGCCAGAATTAATAAGCAGTAATTTCTTCTGTAATTGCTTGTATGGACTGAGAATTGCTACTACTGACCAGATTTTTTTTTATTATTATTAAAAAAGATCAAATCAGCTAAATATAAAACCTATTGAAACAAGCATAGCAGCAGCCATTGGATCACTGAAGGCTATAGCTTTACAACATGATGTTTTCCAACAGTTTCAATTTTCATATGAGCTATAACCAAAGTTGTTGGGTATTTTTGTTTGTTTTACTCAGCTGGAAAATCATCCATTCCAGGCAAGACTACAGACCCAGAATAAATCAGTGCATTTCAGAAACACTGATGAATTTATTTGTATTTCTTCAAGAAATGTCCCACTTCAAGGAACAAAACCCTGGCAAGGTAAGCAGTCCAACTGTTTGATATTGTTTAATAAAAAGGTGACATAGATTTTAAAAACAAGCAAACAAAAAAAAAAGAAAAATAAAATACACTTTATGATACACTCAGTCACGAGTTTTTGGTAACTTTTTGTTGTGGAGAACACAGGTAGGTTGTCAGTGAGCAAAGTTGCTCACATTAAAGTTTATACAGTCCCTCCCCTTACAGCTGCTGGAACCTCACCAGTCATTCCATGGAAAGGAAATTTAAAACAACACAATTTAATAAAAACTTGAAAAAGTATACAGTTCCTAAACATACACCTTTTTTTTTTTTTTCCCCCAAATAACTAGTTTTCAGAAATAGCTGCACAAGTATTACATGATAGAAGAGAATTCCTCATATTTTATTGTGATAATTTTTCTTCTATACAGATACAGTTGATGGTTTTGGTTTTTTTTACTGGAAAGACTGAGCTGGAGAACCCAGTTCATGAAGAGGCAAGCAAGCGAAGGTTTCTTTTTTCCAAATAGGAAGAATTTCATTATGTAGTTCTAGTGAAAAGTGAAGCAGCTTTCTTTTACAAAGAAAAATATGAAAAATGTAGAAGTATATCATGGCAATAGTAATTTTATTTTTATATTTGTATTGCTAAATCAATTTAAAAGGAGATTAGGAGGCTTTTTCTCCTCTTTTGATCTCAATTAACTTGGCCACAAAATCTTTCCTGAAAACAGGCCCTTCAGAATTAGCAAATAGGAATTATGTAGTACCACACTCAAATATTATTTAGACTGAAAATACAGACAAGAAACAGGATGAAAAAATTTCAAAGATGAATAAATGATACAAAAATAAGTTATATGTTTAGGATAATAAAGTTATATTTAAAAGAGCTAGGTGTATATTGAGGTAAGGAAATGTAGTATCAGTATACACAACCCCATAATTTTGTCATGTACATGACACAGTAACTGTATGTTAAGATATGCTTAGTACCACTTCAGAAAAGTTGATTTAGACAGCATGTTTTCCTTTTTTTTTTTCACGACCTTCTTTAAACCATGTCATTATCATATTTTACTGCTATAATTACAAGCAAATTAGGCACTGATGCTGTGGGCAAAATTTCTTTGAATTAACCATTTTATTGCAATTCAACTCCAAAAGCAAATAGATTCTTTCTGTAAACTCTCAACAGATCAGTTCTCTACTCGGCATTGTGCAGTTGTGAAAGATGCACTATATGTCTCAGTCACAGCAGAGTCTGAATCTCAAGTTCTATACTGAAAATTCATCGGTTTTGTGAATGGGGATGCTAAAATAGCCAACAAGCATCAAGAGAATGTTTGCCAGCACATGGCAACACACAAAGCAACACAACAGGGGAGAGAACTGATTTACAGGAAGGACTTTTTGCTTTTGTAAGCATGCAACAAGTATGCATTGTAGTATTTCAATTAGTGATTTGGTTTTTTTCCTGTATGTTAATTGTTTGGCTTTTTCTATGTAATGAAGGTGAAGTAATAACTATTAATGTTAGTGATAACAATGAGTTTGTTAAACTGCTGAATTAATCAAAATAGCATATTTTTGTAACAGAAGGGAAACATCCTAATTAGCCAAAATGGACTTTGATGCTTATTTGCACCAGAAGTGTTAAAGTATTTCCTAATTTAAAAAAAAAAAACAAACTTCAGTTTTCCACTGCATTCTAGATTTCATTTAGCATGCAACATTTTTCTTTTGCAAAATGGTCTAATATCTTACAGTAGAAGTGTTAATGGCAAATTTTATTTTTGCCAGTTTTGCCTACTAGTCTGCAGCATATGTACATTTTTCACTGTCTTGGGAAGTTACATTCCTGGAGTTGTCCTCTCCTATGTCCTGTGTAAGTATAGCCTCTTTTTCAGTCATGATGTATGTATGTGGTTTGTTTATTTGGTCTCTGTATAGGGAGTATTTATTTATTTATTTATTTCTATTTACACACACATGTAGTTTTGCAGATGACACCAAGCTAAGTGGTGCAGTTGACAGGCCTGAGGGACAGGATGCCATCCAGAGGGACCTGGAGAAGCTCAAGAAGTGGGCCCATGTGAACCTCGTGAGGTTCAACAAGGCCAGGTGCAAGGTCCTGCACATGGGTCAGGGCAACCACTGGTATCAATACAGGCTGGGGGATGAAGGGATTGAGAGCGGCCCTGACGAGAAGGACTTGGGTGTAGTGGTGGATGGAAAGCTGGACATGAGCCAGCAATGTTGTGTGCTTGTAGCCATGAGAGCCAACTGTATCCTGGGCTACATCAAGAGAAGTGTGGCCAACAGGTCGAGGGAGGTGATTATCCCCCTCTATTCCACTATTGTAAGACCCCACCTGGAGTAACTGTGTCCAGCTCTGGGGCCCCCAACATAAGAAGGACACAGACCTGCTCGAATGAGTCCAGAGGAGGCCACAAAGATGACCAGGGGAGCTGGAGCACCTCCCTTATGAGGACAGGCTGACAGTTGGGGTTGTTCAGCCTGGAGAAGAGAAGGCTCTGGGGACAACTTATAGTGGCCTTCCAGTACTTAAAGGGGACCTACAGGAAAGATGGGGAAGGACTCTTTATCAGGGAATGTAGTGATAGGAGGAGGGGTAATGGTTTTAAACTGAAAGAGGGTGGACTTAGATTAGATCTAAGGAAGAAGTTTCTTACAATGAGGGTAGTGAGACACTGGAACAGGTTCCCCAGAGAAGTGGTGGCTGGAAGTGTTCAAGGCCAGGTTGGACGGGGCTTTGAGCAACCTGATCCAGTGGAAGGTGTCCTTGCCCATGGCAGGGGGGTTGGAACTAGATGATCTTTAAGGTCCCTTCCAACCCAAACCCCTCTATGATTCTATGATATATATACACATATATTTGTACATTTGTAGGTTCTTACAGCTGTTTTTTATCATATGCAAGTCAGTTTACAGGTTTTTTCAGTATGTTGATTCTGGCACAATGTTGCATAGTCATGTCAGGTAGAGATATCAAATTGTACTAAATCAAGGTAATGATAGGTGTTACAGTGATCATAAATTGTGCCTTACTGGAAGTAAAAATTATGTCAGTTGATATGTATACAATGGTATTTTCTGTGACGAGTAGGAATGGCTCCTAGAAACTGTATTTGACATTAACAGTTTGTCTGACATGGGCATTTCACAGGGTGTTTTTATGTAAAACTAATTGTATTATGTAAAATTAGTAGTTACCTTATGCAAATGCATTATTTAAATGTTATTGAGTAACTTCTTATAAAGTAATATTTCAATACAATTTTTCTTTCTGTCTTCATTTTTATCACAGTATTGTGTGCCTTTTTATGTCCCTTCCTTAAGTGCAATGAATTTGGACAGAAAGTGTGCAACAAAATTAAGAGTGTTCTGATGAAACTAGATTTTGGAATAGTGGAATATATCAACCAGAAGAAAAAAGAGAGATCTGGTGAGTAATTAAGTATGGTCCCAAGTAATGTATTTCTGTATGCAGAGAAATTTTTATTCACTATGCAAACAGTTTGGTTTGTTCTGTGAAGCCAACTTTAAAGGTACTTCTTGCTTTGAACATGGCTACCATTCTTAGCTTTGTAAGGAGTGATGATGTATGTCAGATGTCTGGGTATAGTAAAAAATAATTATTTAATGGAAGGAAACAAGGCAAGACTGATGGTTCTCTTCATACTTGATTAGATGTACTGGTTATAGGTTTTCAGAAAAATCTTCTCACTGTAAGTAGGCAATGCTTGTCTCTGTTTAGACAAGGCAGACTTATCCAGGAGAGAGTCTAGCTCAAGAACACAAAGTAAGTACATAACAGAATTTTCAATAAGAAAGTAAACTCTACTGCAGTATCTAAATCTGCCTTGTTTTCACTCCAACAGCAATAAGAATTTATTAAGCATTAAGAACTGCAGTAGGAAGGAGATATATATTAATTGAAGTTTTTAGTTAGAAAGGGAATAAATCAGTTTAAAACAAAATCTCACCTATCTCACCTGAAATCTTTATAACACTGAAAACTTTTAGATTGTCAGTAATAAAGTTATTTCAAGTTATTTTATATGAACAATTTAGCTTGCTTTTTGTGTATGCTACAGTTTTGATAATTAAACCTTTGTAGTGTCATCACATTACTTGCAGGTAGCATACCTTTTCTAGTTAGTGTAACATCAGTAGATTTCTAATCTGCTTTAAAACATTCATTTCTTGTAACCATCATACAGTGTGCTGTTCCTATACACAATGTGAGGAACCATCTGCCTCTTCCCCTTTTCTTACATGTAATGCAGTAGTTACTGGAAATACAGAATAATGCATTGAAAATTTTATTTCATGTCTTATTCTATCTTGTTCTACTTTTAAGTGAAACTGGCAGAGAGAGAGATCAGACAATTGTTTCATAGATTTCATAAACCAGCACTAGGAAAATGGTTCAGGTTAGAGTCATTCTTTCTGCCTCTCACCTGCCATTTTAATTTAAGACAATTACTTCCCTACCTTGCGTCGTCACTTGGGTTCACCACATGGGTTCAAAAACCATTGTACTGGCAAAGAGAGGAAATATCAAGTTGCAGAAATAGGCAACCAAGGATAATATGGCTGGTTTTCAGCTTATATTTGTTTAAAATATTCATGAGGCTATTCTCAGACAGAGTAGACGAAATCTGTGTCTCTGTTCATCTGTAAGGCGCAACATTCTAACAAACTTTAGACGATGCTTTGGATGCATATTTTAATATAAATATGAATACAGGGTAGCTAGGTGCAAAGAACAAGGGTTTTGTGAATGAAGATTACATGCAATTATCCAGAAAATTGCATGCTCTCATGTAAAATTAATATGCTGGGATAACTATGCTGCCTGTTTAAACAATGTGTTACAACTGTGCATTGTACCAGCAGTAAAAGAAAGAAAGAAAGAGGGAGAGAGAGAGAGAGAGAGATTGCCAGGCCAGGTAACATTATGGTGAGCCACAGAGACTTCTAAAGAAAGTACAATACAGGTAAATAAATCTGTTGGAATGTATTTCAGAGCAACATTATCTCTCCCACTTTGGCTGCTGCACAGTATATTTGATAAATATCTAGCCTCTCAATAAACTTTTGTTTCCCTCACCTTAGTAGCCTATTACGTAAATGATGCACTCTGTGGACAGGTGAAAATTTACTGTAGTTTGCAAGCTGTGTGACAGAGAACACACACTGAACCTGTAATCCATTGTCATGAGTAGGATAATTATTTTTTTTCTCTTTCAGAAACAGGAAAAACAAAACCCACAGAAGATGACAGTGAATTAGACATATCAGCTCTGTGTCCTAAGGTGACTTTTTTTCAGTCAGACCTATCTTGCTCTTAAAATCTATATAAATAATGGAGAGTATCTAGACTGCTGTCTCTGTTCTTCTGTGGAAGACTTTTAACCTGCCCAGGAGGCTGTGTTCCTGAACTAAGCAGTACACTTTAAAAGTGATTCATAGTCTCCATCTTTAGGCTTATACTAATTAACTTAACAGCATTTGTGACTTCTGGCCTTCAAGGTAATGGTTTCTTTGGCCTACTAAACTAAGAATGTGTTTCTTCTGTATTAGCTTATAGAATGATTAAACTAGAATTTAATAGAAAAGGCAGCTATTTTTATTTGCAGCAATGAAATTGCAGTTAATTTTTATCAAATTAAAATATAAAAGGGAAACGTTTGTAGAAAACCTGCATAATTTTTCAGGTACTTTTGTAATCACTTGCCATTTTCATTGAGAGTGTAAATCAGTGTATTACCTATATCTCTCTAGATATATATGAGAACACTCTTAATATCTCATTTCTCTCTTAATATTCTCAATAACTGTATGGCAAAGGATTTGCCATTATAATAAGAACACTGGATGATATAAAAAAAAAATAAATCAGATATATAGGAATTCTTATGCAGTATTTGATCAGTAGTGTACAGACCCTGATTTTGATAGTGATTGCTTTGAAGTTGGTTTTATATTCTGAAAAAATAATATATATATTTATCCCATGGAAAACATTTGTAGTTGACATAATTGAATATTGCTGAATAAATTCATAAAGGATAATTATTTTTTTAATTAGCTAAGTTTTGACTGTCTTATAGATAATGGGCTGGTTTTTTGATCCAAGTTAATGCATTTCTTTACATTTATGTCTATTTTATATTTGCAGGCTCAGTCTGCTTTCATTACAGTAGGATATTACTCTCAGAATGAATAACTGGAATTTGCTATGTTTCTTGAGCATAATACAGCTTTCAGTTTTACAGAGAGGGATGCTTCACTTCTAAGTATTATATACTCCTATAATGTTTCTACAATTAAAGCTTAAATAAGAGGCAATTCATATTCCTATGACATCCAAGAGGCTTATTTTTCAGTATCTAAGCATTGTCTTCCTGTAGTGTGAATTTTCTGAGTATAAGAATACCACGTATGGGACTTTTTTATGTGTAGGTTAGTCCTGCAGTTGTTGCCAAAGAGCTGTCAGTGTCTGACACAGATGTATCGGAAGTATCCTGGACTGATAATGGGACCTTTAACTTATCTGAGGGGTATTCTCCACAGACAGACACATCTGATGGTATGTAATGGCTTCATCTATTTCATTGATGAAGTGCAGTCATGTAAGTTACCTGAAAATTATTAGAGAATTTGAGGACAGAAGTTCTTTGCGTTGTTTTTTTTCCCCTACAGTGAATTTAAAATTAATTAAAGTGTTTTATATAATTTTGGATACATCTTGCATAAGAACTGTCCTCATCTTAAAAATAATAAAGTACATCAGTAAGTGTCTCAACAAATAAGTAGTGGTGGGTAAAAGAGACACAGTAAGTTTGGTAAGCACCAGATTTAGCGCTCTTTTCTGCCAAACCTTTTAAGCAAGTAAACCTTTTAAGTGAGTACCAATGCTTTTGTGAGTAAGCTATACAAATAAAAGCTGAGAAGAAATAGTGAATACTCTGAATTGCTAAACAGCCAATTAATGAAGTATTATTAGGTTTTGTTACTAGAATGCTAATGAAGACAGCCAGCAATGAGCCTAAATTAGATGTGAAGACTAAGACTAGGAACACATTCTCAAGCACTTGTCTTGATCTTGACCAGATCTTTAAGTTCGTACTTTTTACAGACCAAGCTTTCAATTAGCACTTTGCCTGAATTAAGATCAACAGTAGCTTGGTGTAATCTTATCTGTGGATTTGTTGCTCTTGTCATCTTGCATTTCTCCTCTTCTAGGAAAAGTTCACTGTAAATGACAAATGGGGTGATACTACTTAAGGACATTATACAGGTCAAATTAATAATTTAGATTGTTTTGTTAGTATTTCAAGTTGTAAATAGACAGCATTGTACGATCACAGAATCCTAAATTGGAAGGAGCCACTGTTGTTCATCTCATCTAGCCTCCTATTCAAAGCATGTTCAACTTTATCAAGTTGCTGAGGGCTGTGACCATTTGAATTTTGAGCATCTCCAGTGGCAGAAATTCAGCAACCTCCCCAGACAGCCTTTTTTTTTCAATATTTCCTCACCCTCATGATGAAGAAGTTTTTTCTTATAGTGAGTTAAAATTTCCTGTATTCCAGCTTGTGTTCATTTACTCTCATCCTTCCACAATGCACCATGCACCTTTAAGAAGAGTCAGGCCCTATCTTCTCTCTACCTTCTCAGTAGGAAGTTAAAGACAACTATGTGATTCCCCTCTCTGCCGCCTTCTCTTAAGGCTGAACAAAGGCCATTCTCTCAGCATCTCCTCATAGCTCCTCCAGCCCCCTAATAGTCATACTGGTCCTCCAGGGGACTCACTCCAGTCTTTCATTGTCTGTCTTGTACTGGCGAGATCAAACTGGACAAAGCACTCCAAATGTGTGCTCTCAGATGCTGAATAGAGGGGGAATATCCCTTCCATTGACTTTCTGACTTCGTTTTTGATAGTACAGCTCAGTATGTGGCTTGGCTTTCCCTGCTGCAAGGCCATATCACTGACTTGGTGTCCACAGGTCTTTTTCTTGAAAGTTGCTTTCTGTCTTGTTGCCCCCAGCCTGTACTGCTGCACAGGTTATTCCATCCCAGATGCAGGATTTCATGTCTGCTTTTGCTGAACTTCATTATGTTCCTTTTCAGCCTGTTCATTCCTCCAGCCTGTTGAGGGTCCTCTGTGGGCACCCTGCCCTCCAGAATATCAAATACGCCTGCCCCACAGCAGTTCCTTTCTGCCCATGAACTTGCTGAGTGCACTCCATCCTGTCATCCAGGTCATTAATAAAAACACTGACAAGTGTTGGCTTCAGTACCTTTGAGAGACACCACTAATAACTGGCTTCCGGTTGGACCTTGTATCACTGATCACAGCCCTTTGATTCTGGCAGTCTGGCCAATTTTCTACCCACCTTACAGTTCACTTACCCAGTTTGCTCACCAATTTGGCTGTAAGGATAATGTGGGACACTGCATTAACAGCCTTGCTGAGTGAAATTAAACAACATTCACTCTTCCTCCTCACGGAGCATTTCAGCCAGTGGGGCATACACACAAGTGCAAGACCAGACGGGATGCATCCAAGGACTGGCTCATCTCCTGTCAAAGCTCTGTGCATTCGAGGCAACACTTTGCATACAGCACTACACTTCTTCTTCACCTTCCCAGCCTGTTTTCCCTAAAGAAAATGGAGAAAATGATGTATGAGAGATTTTTAGGATTCATTTCCTTAGCCCTTAAAAATGCTCCTATTGCTTGTTTTCATAGAAAGTAAGTTCAAACTGATTATTTTTCACCTTCTTATTCAAATACTAGATCAAAATATTCCCTGGTGCTCATTTAGGCCTCTTTCACGGGCCATGTACTGTACAGTATGTTTTGCACATTTCTAATAACAAATACTGTGCCATTAATGCAGCCATCAAAATCTAATATTTTGTTTACATTCTGCTTTTTATCCTCTTGAAAACATGAAACTATCTCAGTCATCTGTAGAGTTTCCATTTTCTGTTTCCTATTTAATACAAGCACTGGCCAGGAAAGGAAAGAGTTATAAATTAGAGCTTTACATGGGTTTTATATCTTTATTTAAACACATAAACATTCCTTCATTTTTTTTTTATTCCTCAAGTGTACTACAAGCTTGTAATAAATACATTCATACATGCTGACATATTTTTAATTTATATATATTGGGAAGAAAAAGAGTTTTAGAGACGTGTTGGCACTTTATAAATTTAGGACTTTATGTGGATGGTGTATTTAGAACTAACTTCGCTAAAGATTTGCATGGGTTGTTTCATATACAGCTAGATACCATTTTAGAATGATATTTTCCTCAAATAAATTTCTGAGTTAGGTTGATACCAGGTGATTTGTCGTACTGGATTTACGACCTCAAAACCATTTTATTTTAAACATCACCCAAAGCTCCTCTGCACTGAGACTAGAAAAGACTACTAGGCTATGGATTAGTAAATGTATTCAAAGGAACACTTACTAATTGCATTTTTACATTTGGCTGCTTTTTTGGGAAGCCTTTTGTGTTGGCTAACACTCTTTCCTTCTGTTAACCCTGTAATAGATTTTGACCGACCTAGTGATCATGAAGAAGCTTTCGCTAGAGATCTTTCAGAATTTCCTTCTTTAGAAAATGGTGCCGGAACAAATGATGACGATGACTCAAGCATTGGTATGCCCATCCAGCAAAAACGAAAAAAAGAACAAACATATTTCAAGGTGGATCGTGCTTCCAGACAGAGTAAAGAGAGACCATCCACTGCAGGGCTCTCCTTGCCTTTGACCAGTGACCAAACCTTTAATTTAGTGAGTGGAATTGCTGGGGATGTCATCGCAGCTGCAGTGTCTGCTGCCATCAAAGACCAGTTGCAGTCCACACAGCAAGCTTCCTCACATGCGGTGCCCAGTTTGAGTGAGGAGACAGACACAGAGGAAGCTGATGATTTTGAACTGCTTGACCAGTCAGAGCTTGAGCAGATTGAGAAAGAATTGGGACTTTCACAAGGCCAAGAAGCAGAATCCCAGGAAAAGAAAAAATCTTCAGGCTTCCTTTCAAATCTGCTTGGAAGTCATTAACCTGGAAATTGCAGCTGGTAACATAGAAGAAATTAAACATAAAACACACACACACACAAAAAAAATCTAATTAAACAAAAAAAAAAAAAAAAAAAAAAAAAAATTAAAAAAAAAAAAAAAAAAAAAAGAAAATTCTGAGCTGTAAGCTTTAACTATCCCTTTAGATGTGTTGTAATAATTTCCCTTATGCAGAGTGAATTTACTGGATAAATATCAGCTGATACTGATAGTTTAATGTTTCTGGTAGTTACACCTCAATGTAATAGCATGGAAATGAATTATCTATCCACCGGTTGCAGATGACTGTTGGAGGTCAGTTGTTCAAAATAGCTGGGGGAGAGGGGGTTTTTTATCTTTTTGCCAAGCATGTATTTTGGGGTCCTGAGCCAAATTTCCAACATCAGCAGTTTATTTATGCTTGGTTGCCAACCGTGTGCTACAATTAATGATTTACACAGCAAGGGTGAGTTATCAGAGGATTGCAATGAGATTACCTAAATCTCACCCCCTTCATTCACACCAAAAAGTATGAAACCCCTAAGTTAGCATTGTATGTAGTGCATCTACTGTATATGAAACACATTAACCAGCACAACTGTAGTTTAAATGTGTGCAACACTATCAAAGAACTTGATTTGATACTTAAACCCTTTGAACTATTTTGGATATGGTGATGTATTTCCAATTTTTTTGCTGTTTTAGGCTTGTAGAGTTGTAAAGTGGCAGGCTATTTGACTGACCACTGGCTGTGTTCCTTGATAGAGTCTGGCCCTTGGCAGTATTGCCCAAAGTCAGCCAACATACTTTTATATTTAAAAGTTAATATCATGTAAACCAAGCAACCTTTTGGAGCTCAGGTGAGGGTAGTTACTGTTTGGAACAGAGGTTAGAGGTTATAAAAAAAACCAAAAACCAAACAAACCAGAAAAGGCTTTTTAGGTGCCACTTCCTTAATTCAAGATTCTGTGGGGTATGTTTTTTTTTTTTTCCCCAGGACAGCTGCCATTACTTGCAACAAAAGTTGTGTTGCGAATTGAATATTTTAAGTAAAATTATTCAGTGAGGTCATTTGCTATAGGAGACACTCAGAATCTTCTTCTTGGCATATAATTTGAAACAAACAAGAAATTGTTTAAATTATTTGCCAGTTTAAACTCCACACATCCCATGGCATGGGATCTTAAGCAGGTAACTTATTTAATTTTTTCTAGGGCTTTTGTTGTTCACCTGCGGCAAAACTGAACTGTAATACCAAGCAATAGTAATCAAAGACATAGGAAGAAGTAAAGCTAGTTTTTTTAATGTGATGTAAACTTTTAGCGAAGTTGAGGGACCATGTCAGCTGCTACTACTACTCAAGTGATTTTCCATTTGCTGGCATTTGAAGAGGTGAATACGGTCATCTAGGACCCTCAGACAGTACAGCAACACATTATAAAAATCTTCCACTAATATATATGTGTAGGTAAACCTGTGTTTAAAGTTAACTCCTTTTTTTTTTTTTTTTTTTCCTTTTGAGGTGAAAAAATAGGCAGATGGCCAAAAAGAGTGTAGTGAAAAGAAAGATGCTGAGGATTTTTGACACTAGCTTTATCGTTGCTTGTGCTTTTGTGTCAGTAACGCATATTGACTGTGTTTGCTGTCCTTCACCAGTACAAAAGTGAGCCTGTGCCTTCATTATCGAATCCATTACAAACTAAGTGGATGTTGGATATAGGTCCCACAAGAATGCAGCATTTGAAATTAAACATCTGAACATTAAAAGCAAGTTTCTGGAAATTATTAAAAACACATGGCCACATCAGTTCCACAGCATTGGTTGCTAAGTTTCCTCCTTAGCTTTTCCCAGCCTGTCCTTTGCATTTGAAAAAAAAAAACAAAAAGCAAAAAACAAAACACAACAAATATAAAAGAAGCTTTTGCTGGGAAATCTGTAAATTTAAAGGCCATTTAAATTTCTCAGATGAGTTAAAAGCCTTGTTTCCTTGCTGCATGTTTAGGACAATCTATACAGTTAGAAGAGTACAGCTTCCAAGTTGCTGATGAAACTTTGTAGGACGGACACCTGAACAAATGTATGCTTCCTTGTGCAGGCGTACTGGTGCCAGGAGGGGAAATGGGCTCGGGACAGGGATGGGCTGGAGGGAGGTAGCACAATCCTTCACAGGCTTTCCTGGAGTGGATTGACGGGACAGACTAGCTAGCTGTCAATGGTGGCATTATAACAGCGTGCACTTTATTGTTGTTTTAGGAAGAATACTTGTGGCTATAAAGGTATGTAAAGCAGGGGCACTCTTCTAGAATAATAGATTAGTTCAAGAAGGAAAAGCAGTTGGAGAAGTTTCTTGGACTTTTTGTAAATGATCCATTTTCTGGTTTCAAGATAGAAGAAGAGATCAATTTTTCTCCAGTACAAGTCTAAATTTTTTTTGTTGTTGTTTTCCAGAAAGAAAAACAAAGCAAAACTTGAACAAGCAACTCATTATAGTTTAGGGGAGTAAGTGCTTATTTGAGTGTCTTTAGAATTTCAATTTTCTGTTCTTGTGGTACTCAGTTACATTCAAGCCCCTAAATACTGTGTAATGGGAAGGAGGTAATTCTGCAACATTTAATATTCTTCCTCAGGTAGTGGCAAGATGCTTAATTTTCTGCAGGAAATTACCACTTCCCTCCCAAACAGCAGCACATAAGAAACACTTTGCTCAGACAAGATACATTCCACTGCCATCAGTTTGACAGCAAAACACAAAGAACATGTTTCTCTCCTTTGTGAGATCCCTTCCACACAGCCTTCAGTTGGAAATCACTCGAGAAACCTTTTTGCTGTATTCTAGCAGCAGCCACAAAGTAGCAGTTACCTAAAAATTCCTGTCACAATGGTCCACGGTGTCTTTCCTACCAAGCACTGTTGTCACCTTCCCATCTTCCAAAACTGAATTCAGCGGCAGGAAGGAGGGCAAGCGAGTATGAGGTAGCTTTGAAACATGCATTTGTTCCCCAGTCAAAAGGCAGTACAGGCAGCATAGAGGATATAGATCAGAGTGTGGACATGTGAGCAAGTGGCATGGGGTAACACGGGCGTGATCTTGCCATGGGCTCAGTGCGGTCTGCATTATCAGGTGTGTTCTTACCTGGTAGTAAACTGAAGATGATGGTTTTTTTGTAGTAGCATGGTTAAAGTGCTCATCCTCCCTCACCTTGCAGTGGCTTCTCCACACATCACTGATGGAAAAAAAAATGACGTGTGTCAGGACAGGGTCTGTGGGATACAGTTCAGTCCTTCGTACTTGGAAAATTTCCCCTTGCATTAGTACATCTGAGTGACAGAGTGGTCACTGTTTGATTGGTGGCCTTACGTGTGTCAAATCCAGTGTAACAGCACCTATTGCCAGCACACAGGGATTTTCATGTGTATGTACTACACACCTGCTTACCGTTCTTCAGTTTGTTTGTGAAAAAAAAAAAAAAAATTCTATGCAGAGGAGGGGAAATTATTTTAACCCAAAGTAATAGGATCTGAAGAAATACTTGTTTCTACTTGTTTTTTGTTCGTTTTGCACTTTTTCCAGACTGTTTAAACCTTCTGAACAAATTCCCTATAGTCTCCATGTCTGTTCTCAGCACACAAGCAGCATAACGGTCTGTAGACGCCGCCTATCCGGGTAACCAGAAACTGGAAAATTACAAAATGTCTTTATTTAAAAATACTTTGCAGCACTTTACCTAGCCTGATTACTATTTTGTAAACATGGAATTATTATATTGATTGTTTGTAAAAACCATTTAATAAATATGTGTTAGTTTTTATCTTTCATCATATCTAATCGCATGTTTGTTCCCAAAATAGGAAAAAAAACCCAACACGGCAACAACAAAGCCCATCAGTGGCGTTTCTGCCGCTCCCTCTTGTTTCTTCCCGTTCGCGGCCCGACGTGGGCTCGCACCCAATAAACGCTGATGTTGGCTCTCGGCCGCACACCTGACCACGTCAAATTATTTTTCAGGAGCGGACCCGGGGCTGTCCGGCGCGAAGGAGGGGCGGGCGGGGGCAGGCGAGAGCCC